AGTTTTAGGTTTGTTCTTGTACAAGGAGTTTATTAGCTTATATTTCTACACTTCCCTGAAATGAAAAAGGCTGTATGTGTTCTTTGTGGTGTCTTAAGCTTTGACATCGGCAGGCAGTTCACAAAGGAGCTGGGCTGTGTTTTGAAGAGTTCATTTTCTTGGGGGCTGTAGGTTGTGCTGTACGTGACTGATAAAAGACCTTTCCCAGCATTAAAGCCAGTCACAGCCCCAATAAATCTGGAACAAATTCTGAGAAAGCATGTCATGTTATGACTGGCATATCTGTGAGCATGGAGCTCTGCTTGAGAATTAGACTCGAAGTTTGCAAAGTGCTGGTGCTGATGTCATTCCCTTGGAATGGAAAGGCTGTTGAAACAGTAAATACTTTCTGTGGCCAGAAACTAAGTCTTGAGCTGGACCTTTTCCTCTTTTTGAAGGAAAGAATGCAGAACAAACCTAAAATGTGTATTTGCAATGGGAAAATCTTAATTAGTTTAGAGCTTTTAGCTATTTCAAACCATTTACATACACAGCTGCTGTTCATGCAAACATGCAAACTATTGATGGAAACTTCAAACTTACCTTGAAATGACATTTTTTTTTCCCTGTTTTTTAAAGCTGCACTTGGTGTTCAAAAGTATGGTTGGAAAGGTCTGAAAATTACATTTGTACTGTACGTGCAGAAAGGAACATAGACACAGGCTAACAGAAGCATAGAATAAAAGGCTTTAGTTCAGCAAGACTTAACATTGAAACCTTGTTAGCACCAAACAGCTGTTTGGAAAGTGTTTAAGTTTTAGGAGCATTTACTCCTGGTTGTATCTGTAGAGGGTTTTTTTATGATTCAGAACTCCAAAAAAAAAGAGACATGAGCAAAACACAAACTTAGAAGTGGTCCAGGTCATACAGCTGGCTTCTCTGCTTTGAAAGGTTAGTTTGAAACACTGGATCCAAATAACCCACAGTCTGGGAAATAGAACTTAATGCTGTAGCTTGGGACTGCTATAAAATCTTTGAGACTCTGAGATCTGCAGGGTAACTCAGATTTTTTCACTGTCCCTCACAGGACCCCATTGAGCATTCACAAGGAATTCATCCCCACCCCCAGCTTCCTCCTAGGAGGAAGAGTTTTGCCATGACAGATGTGAGGAACAGATGTTGAGAGGAAAAGTTATAATGGGACAATGACCTGAAGTGTTAGTCGGGCTCTTCCCTGGTGTGACTGAGTTTCTGTTCCTGATGGCATCGAAGGAAAGCAGCACATGGCTGCTGCCTGTCTCTGCAAGCCCCAGTGTTTGAGGAGGTTTGACATACAGAGCTTTTATGTGTTCATGTTGGATGCTCAGGGTTCAATCAGCTGAGGGGAGAGGAAGGGACAAAGATGGAAAAGCGAATCAACTGTTTATCAGGGACAGTCAGTACTAGGTATGTGAGTCATGCTCAGCCACCCACCACCTTTCCTGAGCAGTTCTGAGGAATTTTTCTGACTCTTAATCTCCTGTTTTACATCAATGCTTCCCCTTTCCTTGGTGCTGTTCTTCCCCACCTTTCCACTGCTGCATCTGCGATGTCTGGGAGATACTTGTGCTCCTCATCCCTAAATGCTTCGGTGACCTAACCTAGTAGTACAGTCCTCAGTGGTTGCTGAGTAACAGTAAGAGAGAGCCAGGAGACAAGTCCTACACCAACTTTTTGTTACCAGCATAGAGCATATAAGATGGTTTTTTTCTTCTCTATCATCTTCTGTTTCAGAAGGATTTCTGCTCTTTGTTGGCTCAGAAGAAAGATGTTGAGCTCAATATTTAACATGTTCTGAGAGAGGCTGGCAGGTCAGAGCAACTTCCCCACTGTGGGAGGGAGTTGGGACAGGTCTCGTTCTCCTTAGCTTAGTCTAGCTCAGGAGACTGTGAATAATTATGTTTATTAGTGAAAGGAGATCAGCCATCCATAGAAGCCTGAGATTTTTTTACAGCTCTTGAAATGGGAAACTAAGTATCTGAAATACTGTAATACTTAATGACCTCTCCTGAGGTTCCCTTTTAACCTGATGTTATATGTTTCTCTGATACTATTATAGACATCACTTGTGCATATTTGTTGCCTTCTGCCTTTAACATTTTCTTTATTTTCACTAGGCATTACTTGTTATTCGTAGCTGTTTTTTTGGTTTGAGTTCAGTGCAGGGCTCAAAGGCCACACTGTCCTTTCCATACCCTGCAATGATTTCAAAGCTTGTGATGTAAGGGCCCTTCTTACTATAGACTTATCTTTCTTTGCATTTGTTCTTGTAATAGGATTCGTGGCCTTGGCAGATCAGTGACATGGGATACATCAGCTCTGTATGTGTGAAGTGGTCAGGGTGTGTTCCATGGGTGCAAGGGATCACTGGCACCTGCCCAGTCTCACATGTGAACAATTGTGAGGTTTAGCATGAGGGATATATGACATAGTTGGTCACCATATGTGCATCATCTGATACATCTTAGTCTTTAGAAAATGTGATGCAGTGCCCATTCATATATGTATTACTCATCAGCTTTAAATTTGGTTCGTAATTTTTTTGCACTTGGTGTCACCTTAGGTCTTTGTGTGTTCCATTCCTTCTCTCCCTCTCCCCCAGATCTTTAAAGGCTTCTCTTCATCGACCTCCAGCTTATCTGTATAAACTCTTGGTGATGTAAATGTCCATATTGACCACATAAATGTCCACATGTCCTTAATAACCCAACGCTTCAGTGTATCTGGTACTCATAGCCTTCTCCTTGTGAAAAAGCGACATATTTGGGATGCTAATATTAAAAAATTCCCTGTACAGGACTCTTCATTGGGAAGTTTGATTGAAGTACTTAAGTTATTATTTATTTGCTGGATATACCCAATTCCCTTAGGTCTTGAAGTCAGTTCCTGTACTTGGAGCAGTTTGAGCCCTCAGCCGTGACCTGCAAGGGTCAGAGGGCTTAGTTACTGTACAAAGCGATCGCTTTTCACCAGAGAGGGAAGTGAGATTTCTTTGGGTTTCAAGGGTTTGTTTTCCTCTCCTGCTCAGTGTGACACAGATAGCATCCTTGCTAGAAAGCAGAGAAAGGGAAGAAAATTCAGTCCACATGTTTGGGCTTTAAGGTTGAGAATGATTCACGCTTAGCTTCTGGGGGTTGTAATTAGGGGTGACATAATAACCATAAACTTTCAATAAAATAGTAGCAGCATTTTTGTTACACTCTGTAGCTGCAGAAGCTGCTTCTGATTAGCATCCCTTTGAGATAAGCCTGCAGGATCACCACAGTTTCCAGATCTGGATCCAGGCTTCTGGGGCACAGTCCTACTTCTTTACTGATGCTGAAAGGGAACTCTGAATTCTGAAACACCCCAAACTTTGACAATTTCACTTGGATCAGCATCTCAATTTTTTCCATATCCATTTTAGTCCATCTGTGTGGTTTTCAAGTCGGGATTATTTTATGCTGGTTCAATCCTGCCAGTTCATACACTGTACTACACTCTTAAGGGTTCTCTACTATGGAAAAAAAAACCCATGCTATCCTCCTCTTCTCCTGAAATACTACTACTCCTTTCTTTTCCAAGTGACTGAGACTAAAAGGAATCCAGGAATGTGTGGAGCAGGAGATCTGTCATTCCCACTCCACACCAAGGTGCATTCTTGCAGGGAGAGATGGGCATTTACACTGGAATTCTGCCATCAGCATCCTGCCAATTTTATTTTTTGGCAGTTGAGCACATGGAATTTTTAAAAAGAAGATCTACTTTTTAAAGCAGGTCACAGACAAAAATAAAGACATTCTTGGGCTACGAGAAGTAGGTCAGGTTTTGGGGGAATCATTAGTGAGTGCTGTTGATCTGATCTTACCTGTTTATTAATATTTTTTGCTTCCTATGCCAAATATGTCTGGTTCTTTTGCTTTAGGTGAGATGTGTTCGTCTGCTTTGGTGAGCAAACTTTTTACATTAACATTTTAAAAAAAGGAAAAAAGACAAGGAAAAATATGTTCTTAGTTTTCCATTAGAGAATACTGTAGTGGAAAGTGAGGCCTCTCTGTGCTGCTGTCCAAAAGGAATAAAGCTGCTTTGTGTCACCTCATTACTCTAAGCTGATGTTTTACCTCAAGATTGTTTTGGAGGGAGGATGAGGGAAAGGTTGATTCCACTGCTCAGATGATGGCCTCTGCAGCACCTTCTGTGCTCAATTAATCCCTCTAAATTGGAGGAAGCATTTCACAGCCTGTTGGTGATAACACTCTGTAGCCCCTGCAAGAGCTGCTGTACCAGGCACAAGGCTTGGGCAGGGAGGATAGATTACTGCTGGTCAGGCATCTGAATTTGCCTGGCATTGCTCAACTGCCTCCATAATTGAAAGGTGAAAGAGCTTTGGGCATTACATGATTTAAGGACAGATAGCTGTAGAGTGGGTGTTTGGGCTTGAGGCAGCCACCCTACATGGGTTGTCTGGATTTTCCCTGCACAGGGCAAAGATGCTTATCCTCTGTGGAGCCTGGTGTCCTGGCAAGCAGGTGGATAGCCCAGCTCTGCTGGAGTGAGGGTGGGTTTGGTTAACAAATCAAAATTA